GGGAGCTGAAGAAGGCCGGGGGAAGCTGGGGCGACGGAGCTGGGAGGCTGGGCGAGTACGGAGGCCGAAGACCGACGGCCGTGTTGGGAAGGTTGGTGGGGATAGCACCTTGAACCGGATTCTGGGGGACGGAGACATATGCAAGCAAAAAAAAAAAAAAAACTGATTACCTCATGAGATAAAAAGAAGGGAGCTGATGATCTCAACATTCGCTTAGTGCGACATTAAAAGGGTTTCCTCCGGTGTATTATAAGCCTGGCTGGAGACCAGGCTTTACTTGCACCCCCACCAGGCCAGTGATGCATTCACATCAAAAGCAATAGGTGTGTCAAAAGGGTGACCGACGCGTGTTGCACTTTGAATGCAGACGCTTGACATTTTGTTTTAAACAAGTGCTTCTTAAGCACTTGTCGAGGCAGTGGGCCTCCACGCGCCTCCGCATAGACTTTGAATGTAAACTTGACGTGCCTGATGCTCATAATGTGTTTGGTGTGAACGCACTATAAGCATTGTTTTCTAATTATACTTTTTTTAATACAGCAGGACCAGTGATGGCAAAGGCGGATTAAATTGCTTCTTTGTGAAATCCATTGTGCTTCCACAATACCTGAATCAGATCATAACATGGTCAGTATGTCACCACATTGGGAGACAGAGGTTAGGTGTCTATTTTTTTTATTATTCATAATAATAAAAAAAATTACCGCTTTACATGCCAACAACTTCTGGAAATAAAGTGATAAGTCAAGAATAAAGGATTAAAAGATTTTGGACTCTTTAAATTGAATGAAACAACTGAAGTGTGAGAATTTAGGTTTATTTTAATTGTATTTTTTCCTTAACTCAAAAACATGAATAACTGACAGGGCGTAGCAGTTTTTCTGGGGGGAAACCCTGATAAATTGTCACCAGCACTCGATGAGGATTTGGTTTTCTTCGTGTCCTCACCTCACTAACTGTTTTTGGCATGCAGTCCAAGAGGCTCTCTAGCCCGTCCTTCATGACGCTGCTGCACTCGTCCATGTGCTCTGACACCGGGACGGAGTACTGCATGGGCAGCAGCGTCTGGCTGCTGGGGCTCTCCGGCAGCTCCGTGCATGAGGTCACCACCGTGGTCGTGGGGTCGTCGCTCACCGGAATGGGCGTGGCCAGAGGGGCGGGGATGCACTGAGCGTTGGACAGGTCCGCTAAGTCCGGAGACAAGGGAAAGCATTTAACGGGAACGTTGGGAGCAGGACTCGAATTGTGTGGGCGCGTCATACCTGGTCCCATGTCGCCCATGGACTCCAGCCCGTTGGAGGACATCTAAAGAACGGGAAAACGTCGGGTTTAAGTCGCTGCGCGACAGATGTAGGGTTTTGGGATTGAGTAGCACCTACTTCTCCAGTGGGCGGGGAAGTCTCCCCGAGACTCTCCCCTTCTGTGGCGGCTGACTCGGTCTGGGGGCTGACGTAGGCTTTACGGCCCTTCAGACCCAACTTGCCGGCCAGGTCCTGGGCCAGGTCGATGACCAGCATATCCTGCAGCAGGTAGAAAGACACGGTCAGGAACGGGTGTCGATGCTTTGTGCTATTAAAATAACATAAAGCTGATGTGTTCAAACTTTTTGGCATGGCGGCCAAAAATAATCAAATTCTTTGTAATTATAATGAAACCTACTTTATGATTTTATCTCCCTGTTAGACAAACTAAAGCACACGATATTCTAAAGTAATGAGAAAAGGAGTCAGATTTCTGTAGACAATATCCCAACATTTTCAGGTTTATCATATTTTCTAGATTTCTTTTGTGGCTTTTCAGCAACAGGAAAAGGATATTGTTCACTCGCTGCTTTTATTTTGCACACAAATCTGGAACAAACTTCCAGAAAACTGCAGAGCAGACAAAAGTTCCTTTAAATCAAGGCTAAACATGCACCTGTTTAGATTTGCTTTGGGACCGTAAGAAATGGAACACTGACCAACATATTGATATGTATTGATAATTTTGATAACAGCAGACGGCATTATCAAACTGGTGCCTGTATCTCGTTTTAATGATGGAAAATACTTTGAACTGGTTCATTGCTGAAACTTGCTATGAAAATGAACTTGATTGATTAAATGTTTGCATTTCAGCTAAAGCAGCTGGATGCTTTTGGGAAGCCTGCCGCAATAAGAAACTAATCAGTCAATTAATCGCATGATAAATTAAAATGAGCTTGATCATTTTTATTCTGACGACTGAGATTCTTTTTGAAAGGGCAAATTTGTTTACAGAGACCCATTTTATTTATGTTTTTTGTTGTGTGTGCTTTTTGTTTCCCACTTGTTCTTTTTGGTTCTTGTGTTTATTCTGGATGGCAAGAAGTTCCGGTGTTAAGTGATCCTTAAAAAAATAAAAATAAAAAAAAAGGTTTATTGATATTTCAGAGCACAAACTTGTATTGTCATGCTATTTTAAGTATATTACTGGGAAATTGTCTCAAAGCAAAAATTTAGTCATTTATCGCAGTGATTGCTGGGACAGTTTTATTTTTTTATTGTGACAGGCAGGCCTATTTTTTTGGCCTCGACTACTAATAAATCAAATTAAATTGAGAGGAACAACCTGGATGAATACTTTGTGCTGCACCTCACATTTTAAGATTTTAATTTTGTCTTTCTTCAGGGAAGATTTTGGGATCAAACTTATCACCTGGGCCCACCCTACTTTGGACACCCCTGCCAAAAAGTCTTGAAATAAATCAGCAATGCTTAGGCTGCAGAGAAAGAGGGGCCAATTCTCTATCGGTCGATCGCTGATCTCCCAAAATGAAGGAAATCCGGGCATTTATTGGTGCGCCCTTACCAAATACATTTGTCAGAAGCCGTAATAAAATATCAAATACATACATGTGGTGCTGTGAGCAGACATTTGGTTCCACTCTCGTACGCCTCTCTGAGCCGCCCCAGCTCCCTGAAGCAGAGCGCCTTTCGGTACAAAGCCCTGCGGCTGCCCTCCGACACGCACAGTGCGCTCTCACAGTCCTGAATGCCCCGCTCATACTCCCTCTGAAGAGGAAAAAAAATAAAGAACAGACTATCAGATTTTCACATTCAGAATACATTTTTGTAGATAATCCACTCTCCCTGTTCATATTCGGGTTCACCATCTGATAGAAGGCGGCGGCTCGATTGACGTAGAGGCTCTCCAGCAGCTCGTGGGGGATGATGACGGCTTCGGCCTGCGCGTAGCGGGCAACGCTGACCCCCTCCCCGTACTGCTGAGCCGCCTGACGCCAGTCGCCGTCTCGAAAGCAGCAGTTCCCCTCATCAAGCAAATTGCACACCAACTGCATTAGGAAGGCCTAAAGGCAAATTAGGTAAAGAACAAAAGTGCTATTAGTATTAAATAGGCCAAGGTGGTAGGGAAAGACGAGAAAAAAATCAAGTCTGACCTCGTAACTCTCTGGTTCAGGGAAGGGCAACGACGACCTGGTGGACGGGAAAGTGAAAGCATATTAGGATCTTGATGCATTTAACGTGTGGTTTGGCTATGGTGTGAAACTTTGGGCCGGTTTTATGCTTCCTACTGGATAAAGCTCATTGCCCTCTGGATCTCTTCTCGTCGCCTCTGTCGTTCCGGATCCATCATCTGAGGACAGAAACACGGCTGACTCCACAAAATGTGCACAATCTTTTCAGTTTTGACACAAACGTGGTTTGGAAACACTTGACTTTTATTCTGAGATGATGGAAGGCCTGTAAATACAGACCTCAGCCTTCAACTACTGATGATGTTAATTAGCTTAGCTCCACTAACCATAGGAATCACCATATGTTTACTACTAGTTCATTCAAAATACATACAGCAATTCAAGGCAGATGATTTTAAATGGCAGCAAAAGAGCAACATTTTAGAAACATCTGCTAATGTAAGCCAGCACATTACACACATGCATGTTATCTGCTAACTTACATTTCACGCTGACCATAAATACACAATATGAATTGAGAAAGTGGCTAATTCAGTTGCCATCAGCACCCCCACCTGAGTTTACCTGGCGGGGGTTGTTAGCCAGCTAATGCTAATTGCTAATTTTGGCTAAGTCAGATTTAGCTTTAATGAAAAAAAGCAGCAAAGGCTAATTATCGCGTTCAACGCCAGCCGCTCTGTTACTAGTGTGTTACCTAACACAGCTGAAGAGTTATGCCGCGGGACTTAACGTTCAAGTAAGTTAGCTGGCTAAATTAGCCAGAGCCCTTACAGCGCATAGCATGGCAACTCACCGAGAAGTTACTGCGCTTTTCAGATCAGGGTTAGCTCCCCGATGCGTCGGACACAAAGGTTGAGGAATCTGGGCAACCGAATATCAGTCAATAACCAGGCGCATTTTTGTACGGTGGGGATCCGAGTCATTGGAGAGTGGACCCAACACCAGTTTCTCTGCTTCAGCTGCACACCGGACTGGCTTCCTCACGTAGCTAGCAGCTAGCTGCTTCAGCCGCTGGTTAGATCGCAACAAGTTTCCAGATCCGGTTGCCACCAGAAGATGGCAGCAAAACCTCTTGAAGTTTTTTAAAAATCAGGCTTTTCCAGGTTGTTTAAAACTAATTTATATGGAGGGTCAAGCCAGAGTACAGCGGAACCGGGTTTAAAGGGTATATTATTTTAGTTAAACAAAGTTGAAGGAAAAGAAAAAAAATATTCGTTTTTTGGTTGATACTGGTCGTATTATGAGACTTTGGAAAATATGTAGCAGTGTGTAGATAATCCACTCTCCCCGTTCATATTCGGGTTCACCATCTGGTAGAAGGCCGAATATGGCCATAAGTGTGATGGATGTCTTATCCTGAAGATGGTGACAAGTTAAGAAATTCAAGACCTAAGTTCCCTTAAAACCCCAAAGAAGAAGTCGGAGAAAGCGCCAGCGACTGACAGAAAACCATGTCGCAGTTTTACAAAAGAGCCAGCAGATGGCGCAAACGCACTTGTTGTTTGAGCTACTTGACAACCACGCTGACGAAAAAGCCGAACTGGGGCATCGTGACGTCAGAAGGTTTAGCAACTGGCGCGCCGCGCGGAAGCAACGCTCGTGTTTCTAATTTCAACTTAATTGACAAGTCTTTAAAAGGCGAGTTTGTCCAATAGTGTTGTTCACAGGTCCTCTGACGGGAGTTTACATTATTGTTAACGCTGAGACAGAAAGCCCGACTTTGGCAAGTCTGTCCAAATGGCTTTTTTTCCCTATTTTATTATTGCTGCGCATTTACCGGTAGTTAGCACCGGTGAAGCTATCACAGCTAGCTTCTAGACATACTCTGGGTCTGGTGTTTCGCCATCGGCTAACCGATAAATGTTAGCATCACCTGACGCGGTTGTTCGGAGCTGGAACTCCTCTTCACTCCCCCTCCTTTATGTTTTAACTTTTCAGCAGGTATAGAACATGGCCTCTGATGACATCGCTCAGCTGGCTGATGCTCTCTCAAAAACTCATGTTGGTGATGGAGAGTTGAGTTTTGAAGGTCTGGGATTGAAGCTCGACGACTCAGAGTCAGGTCAGAAGACGTATTTTTTTATTTTATTTTTTGTTTTGTTTTTTGGAACCGTCCGATTTCTGTTGAACCTCCTCTGATCTGACGAGCTGCTGTCTGCGTTTTCAGCGGCAGAGCTGCTCGGTAAGATCGAGCAGTACCCGGGTCTGAGAGCCCTGCGCCTGGAGGGCAACACTGTGGGAGTGGAAGCTGCCAAAGCCATCGCCAAAGCTCTTGAAAGCAAAGACCAGCTTCAGGTACGCGTCACGTCCGATCCCACTGTCAATGCTGGATAGATTTCACTTGGATTTGCCTGTAGGTTTGCCAAACAGTAAGACTCTAAATTTAATTGTAAAAGATTGTAAAGAGATGCACTACTTTCACTGTGACAATTACCTGGAAAATGTTAATGCTGAGTATAAAAAGCTTTTACACCTCACTGTAGAATAGTCATATTTTTTTAAAAAAGAAAGCATTTTTCTCGTCTGACAAAATTTTAAACGCCTCATTTAATTTGGACAACTTTGAGTCATGTTTTTATAGCAACTTCTTTACAGAAGAGTGTTGGTGTCAGTGTTGTGTTCACTGATTGGGGGGAAAAAAATCAAAAAATAAACAGTAAATGTTTATTTTTTGTTTTGGCCTGTCAAACAAAACTCGTTGACAGGTGAATTTTGCATCTTTTTGTTGCCTTCCTGTTCACAACGTGTTTCACTCATTTTCCCAAAGAGGTGCTTTATTCCTGATTCCTGATTTTGTCAATCGTCTCTTTTCAGAGATGCTACTGGAGTGACATGTTCACAGGAAGGCTCCGCTCTGAAATCCCCACCGCTCTGGTGAGAATAGCTTCACCCTTTCTTTATTCCTCCCTTTCCCCATCATTTAAGGCTCCTGCGTTTGTTTCATAATCCGATTGCGCGTTTGTCAGATGTGTTTGAGCGGTGCACTGATGAGCGCTGGTGCCCGGTTGACTGAGTTGGACCTGAGCGACAACGCCTTCGGGCCTGACGGCGTCAAAGGCATCGAGCAGCTGCTGAAGAGTCCCTCCTGCCACACGCTGAGGGAACTGAGACTCAACAACTGTGGCATGGGAGTAGGAGGGGGGAAGGTCAGTCCGTGTAAACGACAGTGTACTTCAACAACTAAACAGAAACTAAAGGTTTTTCTTTTTATGTAAACAGATCCTGGCTGAAGCACTTATTGAGTGCCACAAGAAGTCAACAGCTGTCGGATCCGTTCTAAGGCTGAAAGTGTTTGTTGCAGGGAGAAACCGCCTGGAGAATGATGGGGCGAGCGCCCTGGCCAAGGCCTTCCAGGTAGACTAACTGAGCTTTCCATCTGTTTCCTTATAATAGTCACATTGATGCTTTATGTGTTTTTCACATTTACTGATGGATAACCTTTTAAATACATTATTTAGCAGCATGTCACAATAAGCAATCATTATGTTAATGGCATTATTAATTGAAATGAATGTGATCATTTCCACTTCAACAACAGCCAGTGAAGAGATGCTCCTCTTTAATATCGCAGAAAAGCCGCCATTTTGAGAAATGCTGCAAACATTTGACTTTCAGCACAAAGTAGTTAGGTTCACTTCCTGCCACTTCTTTCTCTGTCTAAGCAGAATCATTATTACTTTTTTGAATTGTAATTTTTAACAAGATTTCATAGTCCCATTTTAATTACTGTTTTGTTTCAGTTGTATTATTTAGTTATATTTTGGATATTTAAAATACTTTCCAGTTGAAATGCAATTTTACTATTGTGTTTTTTATTAGTTTTATTTTATATATTTAAATGTTGTCCAGTTCCAGTGTTGAATGTTGTTTTAGAAGTGAAAGTTGTTGGGGGTTTTTTTGTTGTTGTTGTTTTGTTTTGGGGTTTTTTACATTTGAACGGGTATACTTCAAAAGCAAATAATAAGCCATTATTATTGTATTTGTTGAAAATGGTCTCAAAATAACAAGATTATCATTTAGCACAATGTCTGGGACAATTTATCATTCAGCAAAAAATTTTATTATGACAGGCCTGTTTGTTTATGATAGGATGTCCTAAGTTAAAATCTTGCTACGCTAACCTGGCTACAGGTTTTATTTTGCCCATGCTAATAGCCTTTCTATGATTTATAATTATTTTTTAATCTAAGCTGATGGGCAGCCTAGAGGAGATCCACATGCCTCAGAATGGAATAAACTACCCTGGTGTGATAGCGTTGGCTTCAGCCATCCGTCACAACCCCGAGCTCCGAGTCCTCAACTTCAACGACAACACCTTCACCAAGAGGGGAACGCTGGCGATGGCCCAAGTGAGACATGCTCCTTTGTTAAAGCCAGAGGAGTCCATTTTGTACCCCGTGTGTCTAAGCCACACCCACCATGCTGACTCTGCAGGCTCTCAGGCACCTCAGGAACATCCAGGTGATCAACTTTGGCGACTGTCTGGTCCGGTCTGAAGGAGCCATCGCTCTCGCTGCAGTTTTGACAGAAGGACTGCCGGTCCTGAAGGTGAGCGAAACGTCTGGCTCCTCTGTGCCACAACCGTTCATGGCACTTCATGGCGCTCTTGTGTGTCTGCAGGAACTCAACTTGTCATTCGGCGAGATCACAGCGGGGGCGGCTCTGGTGGTCGCTCAGGCTGTCCTTGACAAACCTCATATGGAGAAAGTCAATCTGAATGGTACGAGAAACACCAATGGACTGGACCACCTGTGGCTTTTAGATTGAACTTATTTATGACTATAAAGCCTTTAAATTTGTATGGAACCGGACAGGTGAATATAAATATAGGTTAAAATTGCATTTTAACAGGTAACTGCCTGGGTGAGGATGGCTGTGATGTCCTGAGAGAAGTTCTGGACAATGTGGACAAAGGAGACATGCTGGCCTCACTCAGGTAAAGCATCTGTCCAACACTTGGTTGTCATTGGGAAAGATGCTATTCTTGCTTCTGTAGCTTTGAATCCATGCGCAAGTGAATAGCAGAATCAAATGTCATAAAGTAAATGTCATGATCAATCAGATTAATTGTGATGAATCAACTATTGAAATAATCTTTAATTTGATTATTGATGTATTGTTAACTGGAGGATAAAGACTCAAAAAGGTTCATTGGTGAAAGAACACCATCAGTGAAGTTTTAATTTCACTTGGTTCAAATTCTGTAAATACCATAGAAAAATAAAATACACTTCCTGTTGAGCACATTTTGCTTTAACAGGAAAGTAAAATGAGAAATCTGAAGAATGTGCCAGTCCTTTTAGTCATCAGAATAATTAATAGGATAATCCATCTATTATTTTTTTGTTTTGTTTTTTTTACTAAATGAGGAATTGCTGTCTTCTCTATTCCTCTGCAGTGAGGATGAGGGTGAGCCAGATGATGGTGAAGATGAAGACAGTGATGCCGGCGATAGCGATGGCAGTGATGAATGTTGTGAGACTGGCCAATGTGAGGAAATTGTGAAAGAAAACGGAATCAACGGAGGAGAAAGCCCAGAAAAACTTCAGAGTCAAGTACAGCAAGTCACATTCATAACCAATATGTCTAATATTAGGATGCAACAGTTTCTTTTTTTTTTTTTTTATTGAATCACTTTGGACGTCCTGAGTTAAAAGCTTAATTTCTCCAAACCCTCAGGCAGGAATCCTGTCATTCCTCAGTAACCCCTCAGCAGAAACGTTGTCTCATATGAAGATGAACCTTCAGCAAGAGGTGAGTTTGTTTTCCTTCTCCTCATTAAAGTTTTCACTCTTTATGCATAAGGTGTTGGTAAAATCAGTTCTGAAATATCCGTCTCTGTTGTCTCTTCTCTAGGTTAATGTGTCTGAACCACACAAAGCTGCAGAGCTCTTTCTGAAGATTGGCTCCTTGCACAGCCAGGACGCTGAGGCTAACACAGCTGTCTTTGAAGTCATTGGTAAAAGCACTCCTGCATCGATGCTTATGTTTATGACAGGGTCATGTCAGTCTTATGCACACCTTGTCAAATAAAGTGTTGCCATATTTTGTTAGTATTGCCTTTTTAAAATGTATAATTTGGGTCAAATATTTGTTCACAAAGCTACACCCAGCAGTATCATGCTAGTGATGGGATTCTTGTAATCATCATTACTATTTTTTTTAACAGATGGCGTTTTGAAGAAGGTTCTCTCTGCTTCGGCCCTCCAGTCACACTGCTTCCTCACTACCCTGCTGGTCCTGATGGGAGTCCTGAAGGTGCAGTTCAGCTCAACAGCCTCCAGGCTCCTACGTCTCTGAAGGATTGCAAAAAAAAACTCCACAAAAACCCTCATTACACAAAAGCACTGCTATCGGCAATCCAAAGGAAAATGCTAATTATTAAGCCATCAAAAATTGCATTTTTTAGCTTTTAGCAAATGGCGATTTTCATACAACAGCGTATTAGGGCCAGAATATTTATTTATTTATTTCATTTTGGCTATAATTATAATATTACAAAAATAGTCGTAATAAAACAGAGAATGGAGTAAAACTATGATAAAGTAGCAAAGTCCTAATCAAGTGAGAAAGATGCAACAGTGACATTAAAGTTGTATAATACAGTGACAATGACGGGATAATCTTAACAGAATAAAGTAGTAATGAAGCTATAATTTTACAAGAGTAAAGTTGTAATAATGCATAGTATAAGGTAACATAAGGTTGTATTTTAGGATAATTGTTTTTTTTTTTCAGAATTTAGTTCTTGAAGAATAATTCAAAGTAAAATGAGGAATGTTGAGCATCTTGTGAATTTGAGCTTTGGTATTGGTTTTACAAATAATCAATACCAATCAGCACACATCAGCATCAGATTGTCAGTAGCAGGACTTTAAGAAAAATCATGCAAACGAGAACCACATCAGATTTTCATCTCATTAAAGACACTTTATTCTCATAATTTAAGAAATTCATATTTGTAATATTGCCTTGTTATTTTACTAATATTATGACTTTAATCTCCTAATTTAAAATAAAAATCTTGCTCTGTCTCCTTTACCACATCATTTTTGTTTTAGGGAGAGGGCAAAGTGAAGAAGGTGCCACTGGTCCCCGGTCAGCTGCTGTGTTTGGAACATGCTGTCCAGCAGGAGTATTTCACTCAGGACCAGGCCTCTGTGTTCCACACGCTGCTGTCCAGGTAACCCTCGACCATCTCAGCCTGTCTTTGCTAAACTAAGAAGGCATTTCAATCTGCTTGCTTTCTGCTCTCTGAGAAATCATGCAGGAATCGATGGAGTTCTATTTACAGTCCAGTTCTAATCTCGCTCATTTCTCTTAACCAATGCGTTCGGTGAAGAAGTGGGACTTCAGTCTCGTGTTGTTGTTTTTTTTTTTCTCTGTGCAGAAACAGTGATGCTCTGAAGTCCTGCAGTAGCGCCAGAGACAGGCTGAGCTCTGCTCTGGAGAAGAAAAGCCACTGACTGATTAAAGCCAGTACCAACACTGGGACATAAACACACTGTTCTTTATTTCTCTGGATGTGTAACCAGCAGGGATACTTCCCACTTGAACAAAGGGACAAGTAAAGCCACTATTTATGCCTCCTGATTTGTATATTTTATAAGATGCAATGTCTTAATCTCTATTTTTCTACTTTTTGATTGTGACATATTTATATATATTTTTTATAAATAAAACATCCAAATTTTAAAAATACAAACCACACATAGGCAGTTGAAGTAGATGACATGATGTCAAGTAGGAAAGCAAATGCTAGAAAGACGATAAATGAACTGCAAGGTGGTAGACAAAACAACTTAGTGCCATAAAGTGTGAATCAGGGATGTCAACAAAAATGTAGTTTTGTCAAAATCGGGTTACATTGTTTTGTTTAAACATGCAGTGGTCTGCAAAAGTATTCACATCTCTTCGCAATCAAACCACAGTGTACTTTATGGACCAATATAATGTGGCACATAATCATGATACCGAAGGAAGTCAGCACTTTGTCAAAATATTCTTGGCACCCTCAGAATAAATACTTTTGCCAAGAATTTTTGTTAAGTTCAGAGGAAGCCTAATTTGTTGGCCAATATTTGTCATTTAGTTTTGGAGCTGCAATTGGCAAATAATCAATGGGGAAAAATATAACACTTTTCTGACTGAATTTAAAATAAAAAATGCAAACTTTATTTCATATCCGTCATATAAAACAGCATATCGGTTGACATCCTGCTGCGTCAAACCTCCAGCTGAATCAGAAGGATCTATTCATCAAACATACATGTCACATGACCAGCCTGAATGTGAAATGTTGTCCTTCCAACAAACACCACATCACATATCTTTATCACTTAGTGCTTGCTGTGCATGTTTGATTATTCTGTCTTACCTCAGATGTATCTGCTTATTGACTAGATGGATCTCTGCTGTGAAAAGGGAAGAAAATATATACAATTTTGTATGAGGAGAAGCTGTAGAAATGGGGGCGGAAACCATTTCTGTTAAGATACTTTTGTTTACCTGGTGTTCATTTATATTGAATATAATAAATATATGGAACATTTAAACAAACTGGAATGGTGTGTTTTCTGTTATTCTTCTTCTGCTACCTAAGTATCCTGGAAGCTTAAATCATGAATGCGGCGTTGTTCATGGAAGCGACAGTTGGGTGGAAATGACGCCGACCTTGGAGTGGGAGGTGGCCGGGGGGGTCGGATAAGCAGGCTTTGTTTTGGATGAGGTACAGCCGGGTAAAGAGAAGTGGAGTCTGTGAGCTGCAGTGAAGTAGAGGTTAGTGTACCAAAAATATGCTTAACTAAAATCTGTGGATTAAAAACTTTCTATCATTTTTTCATTTATTTTTTTTTTGGGTAACAACTGATGATGCTTCATTAGCCAGTGATTTATGCTTTATTTTCTTCAGTTTGTTTTCGTCCTAGTTTTGCTGCCATGCGTTAAGATCAACCAGAGATGGATCCATTTACCTCCTGGCTTTTTAATGCATGGGAATGTCTAAAATCCGTGTAAAATAGTTTTCACACCTTGCTAGCTGGAAGGACTCCTTTTTTTGTATTATTTATTTTGCAGAGGGACAGATGGACACTATGTCTTTGTACGCAGCTTCCACTCTGCAGTCTGCACCCCAGTAAGGGTCAGAGCAAACATTCCTCCGTCTCCAGTTTCAGTGTTTTCCCTTTAAGGGATAAAGCTATAACATTTTTAACAGTACTTCATTTATACATATAACCTAATCTTAAAAAGGATTTGTTTTTTTTTCTAACCAAGTTTTTAGATATTATATACAATCCTACGTTTATGTCTTTGCTGTGTGGTTTTTCTTTACGGTCCTGATGGTGTAAGATTGTTTTAGTTCTCCAAATCTCTGAACATGAAACTGTTAAGCTTTTGGTTTCTGCTCCTGGGGATCAAGGCTGTTTATCCAACATGGGAATGTGGCTTCAGGGCATTTCAATGGAGACTCGAACCAGGGCCAGTGGCATAAAGGTAGGAATTATGTAGCATTTTCGTATTTAAAAGCTCAGACTTCTTAAGGTTTTCATTACTTTTCATGACTCTTCGCTACAGAGGAGGGTCTGGGCCTCTTTTGTAAAAATCTCACGTTTTTTCCTCAGAATTTTTCTCAAAGTTCTGACTTGATCTCTGCAGATTAAAATCAAACTTTTGAGGAAAAAGTCTTTCCTTTTTGTATCAGTGGCTCTAATCCTCTTCTGTACCTCTCAAATTAGAGACTTGCAAAAGTGTTTGTACACAGACCAAAAACAATCCATCAGTGTCATTGATGGGGATCTTATGTCAGGCCCACATGAACAAATGCAGAATCATAAAATGGAAGGAACATGCTTTTCAAAACCAGAGGAGATGACAGTCTCCTCCACAGACTTACAGAAGCGCTGCACCATTTTGTGGCCCCAACTATAAATGAGCCAAGCTTCTTTAAGAAGCACTGGACAGATGTCTGAGGTGTACAGAGTGAAAAGGACTGATTTCAGTTTTGATGTGCTGACAGTTTTCACGCCTTTGTGCGCTTAAAAGTGAGCTGGCGCCGCATATTGAAGTAAACCTCTTTTAAATCCTCTTTCATTGCAGATGCCGAACCCTTTCTGGGCTCTGTTGCTCAGCTTGTTGCTCCGTTGCATCCCTCCAAGTCACACAGCAAAATGTCCGCAGCAGTGCATTTGTGACCAGATCCAGCTCAGAGTGGCCTGTGTGAACAAAAACCTGACTCAAGTTCCTTCCACTGTTGATGAGGTTTCTCCTCACACACACACACACACACACACACACCCACACACACACACACACACACACACACACACACACACACACACACACACACACACACACCCACACCCCCACACACACACACACCCACACACACACACACCGATTCATCAGGATTTCTACACATACAGTTTGTCTCTGAACTCTCAGGCTACAGCTGCTGTGTGTTTTGTTGTAGATAACCGTGAAGCTGGATCTCCGAGGCAATGACATCCAAGAACTTCCCTCAGGAGCTTTCAGACACACTCCCTATCTGACTCACCTTTCGCTGCCGAGGTGTAACATCCGCAGAGTTAAGGAGGGGGCTTTCCGTGGCCTTGGCCGCCTGGTCTTTCTTAACCTGGCCAACAACAACATAGAGATCCTCTACCAGGTGATCAGAAAGTCACAGATACAGCTATGACCTTTGCCGTCCCAATTTCTTCATTCTTCATGCCATAAATTCACCACCATTCTTCAATCAATGCCATTGATTAGACAAGTCCAATTTAGATCCACTTAAAAAAAAACAATTCACTTCAAATGAATCCAGTTGATCAATAGTCAGATCAGATTCAAAATAATGCTTATGTTTTCAGGGCAAAGTGGGTAAAACTGTGGTTTATGTCTTTTGAGTCCAGGAGTCTTTTGATGGTCTTTCCTCACTGAAGCAGCTGTTCATTGACCATAACCGTGTGGAGGAGATCCAGCCTGGAGCATTCTCTCAACTGGGCTTCCTCAACCTCCTCTCCATCACCCACAACCAGCTGGTCTTCATGCCCAACCTGGCCTTCCAGGTATACAATCACCAAAATTTCCCAAAAGGGAAAACTGCGCACACACCAATCAGAAAATGGCACCAGCGCCTCTTGTAGTCATCATCGTTGATAACAGGCCAATGCTCATCCTTCAAGGGCTTGCAGAACATCAAGTGGCTTCGTCTCAGTCACAATTCTCTGAATTACCTGGACACTGAGGCATTTGCTGGCTTGTTCACGCTCAACCGGCTCAGCCTCGACCACAACGAGCTGCAGTTTTTTCCAACTGAAACCATGACAAGGTAAGGATGCTCGGAGAGATGACCTCTGGTTTCAGTGGGGAGTGAGCTTAAACCAGACACCAGATCTACCGCAGTAACATACATGTCCTGATGCTTCCCTCTTCTTTCTCCACATCTTTTCCTTACTGTGTCCAGACTGCCAGAGGTGACTCGTCTGGACCTTGGCTATAACCCCATGACGTATCTGGGAGAGAACGCAGTGTCCATGGCAAAGCTGACACACCTCTTCCTGGACCACATGTCCCTGCAGGACCTGGTCAACACGGCTGTATCAAAATCTCCCAACCTTGTACACCTGGACATCAGCTATAACCAGCTGCGTGTCCTTCAGCCCTTTTCTGAAGGCTCACCGAAGCTGGCACGTCTCAGCCTGGGTGGGAACCCCATCAACTGCAACTGCTACTTGCGTCCACTCAGGTGCAGCAAAACTCACTGACTGGTTTTTATCGACAACAGGAATGTTTGTTTTTTGATTTCTTTTTTTTTTTCACCACCTTGCAGAGAGTGGGCAATCTATCGCAAAGTGAAGCTGCTGGGGTCTTGTGGAGGACCGGCCCATCTTTCAGGGGAGAGCCTGGAGGCTGTGTACCCTAAAGAGCTGCGCTGCCAGAGCCAGGAAGCCATGCTGAAGGCCGAGTTTGAGGAAGCAACCAGGATAACTCCACCACCCACCCAAGAGCCAGAAAACAAGATCAAATGTCCTGCCAACTGTGTCTGTGAGGTGACTGGGTTACTTCAGGGGATTGGATTCAGGGGATTGGATAGATTAATGAAGGGTTTCAAGTTTTGCTTTGTTTTTGTCTTTTTCACATTTGCCTTGCCCTCTCTTGTGATTCAGTATACTAGAGAGCAAGTACAGGTTATGGAGAAAAAGAATGCACATTTTTATATTTCTAAGGTTTTATGAAAACTAGATCATCTGGACCATTGAACCAAGATCAGCAGGAATACCTTAAAGCCATTATTCTTTGTCTTACTTGGTTGTGAACTTCTTTGAGGCGTCGATTATAAAGGCCTTGATAAACACTTTCAGCTGTTTATGTTTCTGTCACTTCAGTTGCACTTCAGCTACATTGATGTGGTTTAGGTGTAGAACTCAGGGTGTCTCTCGAACTATTGTTGTGGAGTCACAATTGACTCCACAACAGTTTGATTTACGTACAGAGTTCATGGCCAACTCCATGCTTGTTTGTTCCCCAGATCAGGAGGACTTCAAAATGAGTCAAAAGCATCGTCCCTCCACCACATTGTTGGACAGGTTTGAGACATTTACGCTTAGTTTTGCGTAAAAACTGGTAACCTACCCTTCCTGTCATGATACCAACAGAAAATCGGCTTATGGATAGATTAAACTGGTAGTTGTGTGTGTCTGTGTGGGTCCTTGAGTTTTTACCAATAATGCTTCTATAATTCTTTGCCAGCAGGCAGAGACGCACCACTCTTCATGCGAGAACCGTGGCCACACCAAAGTGCCTCGAGGTTTCTCTCCCGAGACACGTCTTCTTGACATGCGAGGCAATAACTTCCACTACATTCCCAGCAACAGTTTCCCCGGTGTAGCCCAAGTGGTATCGCTGCACTTGCAGCGCTGCAAGATTGTGGATGTGGAGGACGGGGCTTTCAGCGGTATGAAGGGACTGATATACCTGTACCTGTCCGAGAACAACCTCACGTCCCTCAGTCCTGAAGCCTTTAAAGGTGCTTTTTGTGAGGAAAAAAATCTATAAGGTTTATTCTCTCAATAATTGCAAGCTTGGTTAATCTTCTGAATCCACAGGTCTACCACAGCTGACTTACCTGCACCTGGAGAAGAACCGCTTTGCTGATTTCCCCAAAGGAGCCTTTAAATTGGTGCCTAGTCTGCTAGCACTTCACTTGGAGAACAATAGCATCACCAGGTTGGAGGCTGGTATTCTGACTGGAGCTTTGGGTCTCAGAGCTCTTTACCTCACTGGAAACAAGATCGGGAACATTTCACCCAGGGCTTTGGATCAGGCCAGTGGTCTAGAAAACCTCCACCTGGGGGGAAACAAGCTGAAGGAGGTGCCCACCGAGGCACTGAGCAAGGCAAGGAACGTCAAGGACCTCAGGTTGTCCGGTAATTTGATCCGTTGGGTGGGCCCGAACGCTTTTAAACCGCTGCAGGGATCTCTGAAGGAACTGTATCTGGATAAGATGGGGCTGGAGAAGGTGAGCTTCTCCCCTAAAGAGCTTAACCAAGTGCATAGCAATTCTTTCTGATGATGTTTTCCTAACCGTAGATGTCTGAGAACTCCCTAGTTGGTGTGGGTCCAGGGCTAAGGAGTCTGTTTCTGGAAGGCAATAAGTTGGAATTGGTGCCCGACTTCCACCAACTCGCGTCCCTGGAAGTCATCAACCTGGCCAACAACCCTCTGATGTGCGACTGCCCCCTACTGTCGCTACGCCTGTAAGCAGCTTCTTTGACTTAAAGATATCCCATTGGCAGACATTTTGGCTTTACTTATGGACAACTTGGACATTTTCTGGTCATCTCTTTCATATAGGTGGATTGAGAAGGTTAATCTCAAGGTGAGAGCCACTTGCGCTAATCCCCCTGAGGTGAAGGGTCGAAAGGTCAAAGACGTCTACGTGTTCAAGGCATGTCCGGGAGGAGAAAGTCTTCCGCACAAGACCACTGGCACGGAAAAGCAGAACAAGAGGTTACCCAGGACCCCCGTCAGTGTTACTTCCCACTTTGATAAAAAAAGGTCCAGCGCTCATGCAAACCGAAGGTGGCACTAAATTATTTTGTTGTCGGACATTTTAACTGATGCCGTCAAAAATATTCCGTTGTATTCTATTTAAATTACATCGACGTGGGTTATTCTGTTGCATTTAATTAATATTGAACAAGTTGAACAGATAATCCAGATCCCATCATACATTAAAAGAAAAAAAAAAACAACCATGGTGGACATCCGATGAGGATTAAGTTGATCATAAAATCGCAAGGTATTCTCCACCACTGCCTTCCATACACGTCTGTGTCTTCGTTCTCTACTCCACATGCAGGGACACCTTTAGGACGTTTGCAACAAGCACATTTAATTGAAAATATCTTTGAAACTTAGGTGTTGATGCTGCATTTTTGCCTGTCTGTATATTATAAAATATTGTTCTACTTGCTGTGTGGTTGATCGTTGTTTTTTTCCTCTAACTGTAGCACTTTGCCAAAAACATATTTCCCTTCGGAGACAATAAAGTATATTCTCTTCAATTGTACAGTCCCGTATTTTCTGTTTTAAATATAAGCAATATTGTCAGTCTAGATGGTTTTGGGGGAAATTTGATGCCAAAATCAAACCGCATGCATTTTTAATCTAGTTTCTCACAAGTTGAAAATTCCCAACTCATGTCAGACAGTTCTATGTTTCAAAATAAAATTCCGTATTAATATCCTGACAAGGGTTTGCAACTTTTAACTAATTGTCATTAAGCTCTAATTTGTTAAATACCGGGACTTGTTTCTGTCTGGATAAGTAAATGATTCCTTCTTGGCTTTGCAGCTTTTGCTCCAGACCCATAAACACAAACATCTATAACTTTCACAAAGGACGAGAGCGAATCAGCTGGTTTATTTACAGACTTTAGACAAAAGTGATCTGCAGAAGACAACGGAAACCAGAAGAAAATAAAAAACTTTGTCATTACAGCCAAAGTTATCCATCATGCTTTTAACATGGTCTGTAAAGTGAGGTAGTTCCTAAACTCTACATGCTATGATTGACATTTACATATTTGTCAAAACTATATTTTGTTCTAAACTTGCGAGGGTTTCATTGTCCGTTAAAATCTCTCCCTCTCATACATCTATGTCTTCTGTTTCTCCAGCCCGGTCCTGCTCAGTGTTGCTCTCCCACGTCTCATCCTGGCTGCTGTCGTTTTCTCGACTCCCGGCCTCCAAGCCTTCTTGATCTTTGCTTTTGTTTTCACTCTGAACAGTAATTCCTCTGAAGTTTTCCTTTGGAGATCCGACCTCCTCTCGCCTGGGTTGCGTCGACTCCGTCTGCTGCTCCGTCTTCTCCTGCTTTATGGGTCTCAGAGACGCCTCCTGAGTCTTGTGAGGACTCTCAATAGGAGTCTCCATCTCCTCCGCTTTCACCTGGACCGGGACGACTGCAGAGACAAACCTCATTCAGCCGGTTGTTTGAAACGTAGAAGTGACGGATCTGAGTCGCTCACTCACTCTCTTGTTCCTCTGCCTCCGTTTTGATGGCTGGGATCTCCGGCTGGCTACTCTGGGAACTTTCTGGCAGCTCGCTAGAGGCGCCGCTCGTTTGTTCCTGGATCGTCCGCTTCCTCCCGTACCTCCTTCCTGAAGCAGGGAATAGAATAAAATAAAGGAACATAAATCGGACGAATCTGTCATTTGCGAGGCAATTTAAATATTTTTGGGTCTGGGTCTCCATTTACAGCCAACAATGAATTCAATTCAAAAACACTTCATTGATCCCAAACAGAAATCCTATATTTTTGGAACTCACACGATCACAATAACATACTTAGACCTTTTTGAATTCTGCACAAAAAAATGTTAATAAAGTATAGAAAAAAAAACTATAACTAATTCTAATAAAAACTAAATATTTAACTAACAAATACTAGAAAACACACTATTAGATTTATAGCTGAGGTTATCTAATGAATCTAATGAAAAAGTTCAAGTTTTGTAGATCTTTAGAACAAATCTACAAAATATAAAATTGCATCTTCCTGTGACTTCCTGGCAGCAGCCAGTCACTGCATGTTGGCATTTTGGATCATTTCGCTCGGCTTGTTTCGCTACATTTAGTGCAAGACCTTCGATCTCCCCAAATCCAAACCACTGTCAGAAACTGTACAGAGCAGATTAACAAAGATAAATAAATAGAAACATAAATACACCATGCGGTGGTCACCTAACGAGCCGTCAGAGCCGTTTCATGATGAACCCGATGTTTTCCCTCAGGGCGATGAGTCGCTTGAAGCATGTACATGTGTGCTGTTCAGAGTCTGATATGTCTAATCGTTCACTTGTCATCATGTAATCAAAATATTTCCATTTTGCAGGCCTTATTTCTATAATCTCAGCTCGAAAAGAAACAATCACATTGCTTGTAAAACTTGGTAGTGTTTCATTTCGTGTGTAAACTCTTGGTGACGTGCAAAGGAAGCGGCTTTGCACGTGGGGAAACGTTTCACATACTCTTTCTGCCGTGTACGATGGGTTTGGGCTTCTTGTACTGCGCCAAATGGTTTTCAGTCAAATGTGCTGGAAAACAAAAAAGAAACCTTTGTCATTCCATTATCCAACACACTGCTGAGATGGGGTTAAGAATGAAAGCTAAAGAAAAAAAAAAAAGCTCTCCAGATGTTTTCACCCAGTCCTGGAGGCGGCTGCAGCTGGAAGCCCACCAGCTCGCACCATCCGACCGGGTAGATGTCCGGGGACTGGTGGTCCACCCACTGGTCGAACTCGTCCTCCCAGCCGTCGAAGTGGATCAGCAGAAGGCGGCCCACGCAGCGCTTCACCGTGGCGACGCACACCAGCCGCGGCTCCATCAGGTCCGCGGCCTCCAGCTTCATGTTGGGGGAGAAACCGTGACCCGGGTTGTCCTGAGAAACAAACAAACAAAACTTGTGATGGTTTATAGTATTTACACTGAGAAAAACATTTCCTCAAACATATTGGAATTTTAAGTGACGAATTGTCAAATGGAAAGAAAAATTAAGAGTTGTATACATTTTTATTCTGCCCCCAATTACTCTGACGCACCAAAATAAAGTCTGGCACGACAAATTAGATTCAGAAGTGGCCTAACAAGAAAACAAAGCTACCAGGACCTGCAGCCTACATGGGAAAAAAAAATTTCAACAACCTAATAATCCTGCTCATTATTGACAACAACTATTCAACTGTTATTCAATCTAAGCTGCACCTCTGCTGAAACACAGTGGTGGCAGCATAAGGCTGTGGGGATGTTTTCCTTCAGTGGAGACCAGGAAACCAGGCAGAGGATTTTTATTCACCTCCTCTTAGCATTTTACTGCAGTATCAGCTCTGAATTGTTATGAGGTATGTCTCTAGTAAGTGAATGTTTTAGCCGTTCTGATTCAATAAGCCTCATTACAATTGCTGGCTGATTAACAGGCTTTCACTAAACTGTGATCATCTGAATCGGGTGTGTTAAAAAGGCAGTATTATGTATTTTCTAGGCCTATTTTATAGCACAATCATGTAACTATGTTATTAGTTGTTATAATGCCAAACATAACCCAGAAGAAATCTGACTTTTGTACTTTAGCATTTTGAAATTGGGTATCAGTCTCTTTAAGAAGCTCCGCCTTCAGGAAGTCATCACAACATGGCTCCTCTATTGACCCTTTGACAACGTTTTTAACCAACATTGCTCTGAGAAGCAGCTCCTATCATGAGCTCAGCAGATGAACAGTTCCACCAGGTGTTTGCTAATTGCAGCTGGCTAGTCTGAAGGAGCTAACAGGGGAGGGCCGCTCTGTGAGGCAGAAACTTGGAAACTGTAGCTCAGAAAAGGCGGGGCTAGGTCCAACCAGGACTTTTGCGCAGATGAATGGCTGCCATGGAGATGAAAGGATTTCTCAAATGTGCATGAAAGAATCAAGGCAAAACTCCAGGTATGTTTTTGATGAGGGAAAAACATAACATGATATAACGTTTAAAAAAAAAAGTCTATTTTCCATAATACGGCCCATTTAAAATGGTGAAACATGTATAACCTGAAGTTTCCAAGGTAGTTTGTAATCCTTGGTGGTTTAGTTATATGACTGTTCCAACTGTCATATAACAAGAACCAAATTCAGACTTCCTGCCTCCCAAAGCAGAACTCACAGTGTTAAACAGTCGCGCTGGTGCAGCCGTTGCTTTAGTCTCCTGCAGATATTTGTCCCAGGTGAAAGTCTGAGGATCAGAACCTGCCAGGACACAGAACGGATCACCTTTCTTGTTAAAACACAAGCCGACGAATCACAATCCGCAGGAGAACGACTCGTTTGGAGCGCAGACGAGGCAGCAGACGATCACCTCGGGGCACGGTGAGGGTGATGTCGTTCCTTTTACAGAAGTTGATGGGCAGTATGGCGTGGGAGGAGGCATGGTAGCAGAACCAGTCGGCGCCGTTGTTCTGCTCCGTCCCGTCGATGCCCACCATGAGGTAACCGTCCAGCAGCACCTGTAGATGACCAGGCACAAGGCAGAGGTATCGATTCTGATGAAGGCAGAGTCGGCCATTCAGATGCGAGCGCCTCCCCCAAACAGAAGAACTAATAAGGCTTTGTTACCTTGTGAACAGTGGCCACACAGATGTTTCCCAGATTTAGAGGATCAATCGCTTCCAGCTTCATTCCCTCCTCAAAGAATCCCTCCCCCATGTAGACGAACCTGGGCTGCAGGTCACACCGAAACATTTTTAATTCATACAGACAGGAATCCAAGATTCTTTTACATCTGACAATTTGAAACTAGAACAGCTGAAATCATCCAAGTAAGAATTCAGACCACGCTAGTTTATGAGGGGGGGAAAAAACCCACTATAAAAACCAACCAAAGGCAGGAAAACAACGCCAACTAGTGGTGAGTTAAAGCAGCACAAACATTTCAAAGTGGGGAATCTCCAAGTTTCCCCGGCCCAGGAGGTTGATTCAAATACTTTATTCATAATTAGGGCAAAATTGTTGCACATAAATTCTAACCGTGTCGGTCCTTTAATAAGAAGGTTTTCCGAGTTCTCTTTAATCTCAAAAGGATCATATTTATCTAATACATTTTACCCAAAAGCAGACTTTGTTGCACCCAAATCTGCTTTTGATTCATCATACTTAATAAAATTCAGATGCAACATTCTTTATTTATGCTAAATTAAGTTAACACACACTGGTAAAATTCTTTTCAAGTTAAACATCTGCTGTGCTTTAGACATCTGATAACCTTATTTGTTTTAATAAAGTATTTACCTGATCCATGATGAGTTTAAGATGGAAATGTTATTCACAAGATATGTTTTTTGTCATGCTAGGTCATAGCCTTTGTCTTATTTATATTTTCCAAAGTTGGGAAGCTGCTTCTTCACAGAATGTGAAACAGGAGTCGCATAAGAGATACAGCTTACCTTTTTACAGAGGCTTTGGAAGATATTGTCACCGTTTCCCTTTGGGTTGCTTGAAGCATCCATATTGCTTCCTATAAACAAGAAGACTGAGTAACTGACAGTAAAAAGAAAAAAAACCTCACTATTGTAAGCTATTATCCACAAGTCAACAGTTTTTTGTTTCATGTTCCCATGACTGATTTGTTTCTGACTTTACACCCAATACACAACAAAGTGGAAATAAATGGTGATCAGAGCAGAAACCAGCAGAGCAGTGGTTAAGCTCTCCATTATGACAAGAATTCATTAATATGCAGCAATACAAAAATAATAATAATCCAAATTTAGCTCCCCTGAACATGTAAAAAGAACAAACTATAATACAACATGTCCTCTAAAGCTCAACACTCCGTATAAAAAGTGTTTAAAAATCCAATGTTTTTCCCACTTTTGAACTCACCATATGCTTTAATGGTGTGACCCACGGACTTGGACCAGCCCAGCGGGTGGACAAGAGGACTCCACATGTGGCACCAGAAGTCGAAGACCACATTGTCGGGGACGTCGCTCTGGTCCGCGTACACCAGCCGGAGACGGCCGCCGACGACGGCGTCGACGACCGCCAGGCGGGTGCGGCTCACGTGTTTGGGGTCCACCACCTCCATGCGTGTGCCGGCCCTGAACGGGGGCTTCATGCTCTCCGCCAGCTGACGAAGCCAAAACAAACAGTTCGGCTTCAGTTTCGTCGTCCAGGAAGAGGAAACGCGTCAAAAGCAAAGAAACGTCTACCTTCATGTAGAAGTCGACGGGCAGAGTGGTGGAGCCCACCAGCTTCTTCATCAGGTACAATTTCCAGTCGGAGATGTTCTTCGCATCTGCAAAAAGGACGAGTTTTTTTTTTTTTTTTTTATGGTTATGTAAGATTCAATTCTAAAGAAAGCAGGAGCTCACCCCGTGGCGGCACCAGCAGCTTGCTGGTCATGGAGCACCATCCGATCGGGTTCAGCTCCCCCGACACGATGCTGCACCAGAAGTCGTGGCTGCTGTCGTGTTCGTAGCCTTCGTATCGAAGCAGAGCTTTGTATCCTGCAGACGGGCGAGCGGAGGACGGAGTTGAAAGCACAACGTCACGTAGCAGCTCAGGATGGGGCGAGAAGGTTTTCATATTCCATCTCGCTTCAACCACAAATTTCTATGGCTTTCCTAAGAGCAATATCACAATAACAAACTTTGCTAGGCGATGCATCGAGACCATTTTTCAATTAGCAGCCTGTACTGACATTGACACATAATAAAGCAGACTAATAACCTTTTAATTTTGAAAACAACACTTTGCACTAGATCTTTTAAATATTCAAACAACCAAAAACTAAAAAAAAAGGTAAATAAAAACCAAATAACCAAAAACAAATACATTGCACGGGGCAGTATGTTTTTCCAGGTACCCTGTGCCATTTCATAACACAATCAAATCACTATGTTTACTTCAGTTGTTAAAAAAATACAAGATATATCAAATATGAAAGGAAATTGTCTTTTTAATTTAACACCTCAAAATTGGGCATCTGTCTCTTTAAGAAAGTTCTGCTCTTTCTGAACCTACTCAATACTATGACTCCTCTATTAACCCTCTCACGACATTTTTACCAGCGTTTCACTGAGAAGCAGCTCCTATAATGAGCTCCACTGATGAGCAGGTATTTGCTAATTGCTGCTTGCTAGTCTGAAGGAGCTGAGTTGAGGAGGAGCAGCACTTTTCAGTTTGTTATAAACAATGTTTTGAATCACGTATACTTTTCTTACTACTCCACAATTGTGCACTATTTGGTGTTGGTCTTTCATATAAAGTTTCACTGAAATATATCCATGTTTGTGGTTGTAATGTGTCAAAATATGGAAAAGTTCAAAGGGTGTGAATACTTTTTGCAAACAAGTGCAAAAAAGTATAGAGATGATAAACATATGAAGTTGAATCATCATCTACACCAAATTTTATAATTGACAAAAGCACATTTGTTAGCAGGTATTAAAAAGCACAATGTGACGGCAAATTAACTGAAAATGAGCAGAAAAGCTTTACAAAACCTGCGACCTGAAGAACAGTAGCAATCCAGTAGACTTTATTGGACAAGACAGCGTTGGTGTTGAGGACCTCCACCTTCATCCCGACGACCACATCGTCCCAGTCAGAGCTGAGTGGAGCCTGCAGAGGGGAAGATCATGAGCCGCCTTCTTCATGCACAACACAAGCTCACAACTACCCATAATCCATTTCTGGTCATTTTCCCTTCTCTGCAGCAACACGAAGTCTGAGCGGTATTTTCAATGGGAAGACGTTCTCTACATTTAACCAGGCAGTTCTTAAAAGCAACAAAGGACATCATGTGTGTAACTTGCAGGACGTGGTACGGTGAACTCACATGAGCGAAGCTGGAGACGGGAGCAGCCAGCGCTGCTTCAGTCGTCAGGTAGGAGCCCCAGTCGAACACTGAATGTGCTGCAGAGCAAGCAGAGCAGAAAGCCACGTGTGTGCTTGAATAATTCTCATACTTGAGAGAAACATCAAGTATGAGAGATGCTGCTAACTGTGTGTGTGTACGAGTGTGCGCGCATGTATCATTACCTTCTACTCCTGCAGTAGCAGAGGTTTTGTTCATTCTGTTCAAAACTGTAGCTTTTTTTGAGGGTGGTCGCCCCTAAAGAGAAGAAAGTGCTTTATATATAAAGTTCGATCCGTTTCTCTGCTCTCACTACTGAAACTACAGAAGAAGAAATCAATTGTTTAGTGGTATTACATATTACATGTATGTCAGGGTGGGGGGCCCCATACGATCAGGATACAACACTTTGTTGTAATTCTTACATCTATCTCCAATAAAGGTATCAGTAAAACTTTGTTTTTCCTCTTTAATGTTTTGTTATGCTTAGATTGAAAATTAGAATCAGTCAAACTCAAACTCAGCAGGTCAGACCTGAAAGAGAAGCAGAAATCAGCACTGGCTCATAAACAAAACAAAACAAAACAGACGGCTGCATTTCTGCCAACATGAAGTTAATGTCCATCAAAACTAAATGTGAACTTAAATAAGTGTAGCTGAAAACTCAGTTCTCATTGATCTCCTTTTAGAAGATGAAATCTAATTTCCAAACAAATGTATTTTTGCATACTTCTCCAAACTCTCAGAATGACGTAGAAGTGTAATACTTTTCCAAACTATTTGGGACTGGATCGATATTTGAATGATTTTTCCGACATCAAATATAAACGTTTGAATTCTCCTCAGACATCTGCGTCCCCATCAAACGGTGACCCGACGCTGGGGTCAGTGTGAGGTTTTCCAGCTTCCCGTCCACCGTGCTGACCGCGGGAACTCACCGCCTTGCGCGTGCATCGAACGCCAAACAGGTCGTCCACCCATTGGGTCGGGACCGCGGTGATTTTGAGCATGGGGCCTCGGCGTCTCACACAGGAGTCCGTTTCTAGGTAATCGTCCGGCCGGAAGTGTTTCTGGCACACGAAAATCTTGCTGACGACGTGGACCGGGGTGTTCGGGTCCATGCCCAGCGTGAACAGCCATTGTCTCAACCGCTCCGGGTGGCCGACAGGAAACCGGTGGTACACAAAGTCAGACCGCCTGCTCAAGCAGGAGTCCACGCAACAGGTTCTGGGCATTTCTGCGGGGAACCGGGCGGCTGCGAGCTGAGCCCAACCAGCACGCGCTGCTCACATCAGCAACAGGAGCAATTTAAAGTCCAGCGCGCTCGTCTTCTTCTTTATTTATTGATTGAAGCCGTAAAGTAGTTGAGTGCTGCCACCTACTGGTCACTGTAACAACAAGACTCAAGAATTTACTCTGAAATTACTCTGGGAACCCTAAGATTGTCTCCCATAGAGAGGACTGTAGCGACAAAATCATCGGTTGTAGTTTTGCTGCCAGAAATTACGCTGTACGTTATGAGAAGATGGAAGATTAGGGCCATTGAGGATGCAAATAATCATGATAACATATGAACGAAGTAGTACATTTCTGCCAGAGAAATAGACATTTCTAGATTTTTTTCTTTTCATTTGAAAAAAAAAGATTATATGAAATATTGTAATTAAATTTTTACTTAAAATATGATCCATTTCATCTGTTTACATGCAACTTCAAGTGCCCGAATCGAATGTTTCAAGTTTACCACATTAATTTATTAAATGAGAGAAAACAGCCACTCCATGTTACTATTCAATTCTACACACATATTTCAATACAAAAATCATAAATGGAAAATGCAATTTTTCTTTTTTGCTAACTACACTTTACATAAAACAGTACTGACTGTACAAATGTTTCAAAAGAAGGAGTGCAGAAAATTTCTTTTTTCAATCTGCATTCCAATTATCAGTGCAGCATTGCATTTTCATATTCACACGTGCAGGTTTCATTTGCATTAGGGTTCACAACCACACGAGAACACGTGTTCACTAAGCTGCAGCACACATACACAATCTTGTCAAGACATGTCACCTGTTCACCCTCACATGTAAGCAGCAACTTAATTATACTTCTGTGTAACATTTTGTATTTGTTCCTCATACAACTGATCACTCTTTCCACATGAATTCTGAGGTGAGCTAAAGCTTGTGTGTCTTCAACATTTTTAGCATCCAGTTCACATCTCCCTTTAGTGAATGACAGCATTTTAACCTCAGCACACATCCTTCCTACACTGTCTTTAATATCAAAGCCTCTGTTCGCTAACACAACGTCCCCAGGTAATAAATTGGAGAGAAGGCCACAGTTTTCTGTAATGTGCTTGTCCGATGCATGTCCACCCCACAGAAATAAAAGAAATCGACCCATCAGGTGTTATACCAATAAGGCATTTCATAGCGCGTCTGCCTTTGTACCGGGAGAAGGATTGTGCTCGTGCTTTTAAATTTGAGGGTCTTTCTGTGCCCAATTCAAAACAGTCAACAATAATTGCTACATGTTTTCCAAATGTTTCCAAAAACTGAGGAGGCATTGTGGCTTGTAAGCAATGCCTGTCAGGCCAGCTTACCATGGGCTTTAGGCATGCATACAACACATCAAGAGTGTCAGCAAAGGCAGTAGACAGAGTTTTATGTGACACAAAAAGATGGCAAAGATGCTGAACAGGAAGATCAAGTCTTAGACGCATTAATGTGAGTAAAACCATTTGAAACTGAAAGTTTTTTTGATACTGGCAGATAGTGATGGGACTGATGACACTGAAAGCTCGGCGCATGCCCCGAGCAAACAAGGCGAAGCCCCGTGTCGGTGCGCGTATCTCTAAGGAAAACCACGTGACCGATACAGTTCCCATGCCGTTTGGTTGTGAACGCGACAAATTGTATTTATAAACAGAAAACGTATCGACACGTCACGGCTGTGGTCAAAGTTCAGGTTCATTTCTCCTTGGATTGTTAATAAGCCGGTGAATTTGTGAAGAAGGCTCAGTCTGGTGCATCTCCGTCACCGTAAGGAAAATGGATGTGGAGAAGGGAAAACGTCGGTCCAGGGCATTGAGCAACCTGGAGAAAATGTTGATGTTTCTTTTCATAACATTGTCGTGTGTTTGCATCGCCCTTATTACCCTCTACTTTACAGACAAGCCTGATCCCTCTGCTCAATCAAAAGGTGAGTATTTTATCATTTGAAAATAAGCGAATTTAGACGCAAGACAGTAGAGAAGGAACAAGAAGTTGTGGTGAAGCATTCAGAACTGAAAAAGCCAACATGAGGATTTGACTTTGGGAAAATTAGACAAATTCTGCTGATCGCAAGAAAAGGAAAATTATCACAATCAGAGAGCTCAATGTTACATTAGCAGCTGCAGTAAAACGGTTAATATACTTTACTGCTCGGGAGGCAAAAAGGGGCCTTGAAGCCAAGTAAAACATCCATTTCTATGCAGAAGTTTAAAGCTAATTTGTAGGTCATCTCCTGCAACAAAGCAATAAAAAATGAAAGCTTAAAACAAAAGCAGAATGCATTAATCTACACTTGAATCAAATGCAGAAAAAGGAACAAAGAGAAAACATGATATGAACACATTTGTCCAAATAAGTTCTGAAAGACTGATTAATTTCTGAATAAAAACATAACTCATTAACATGTAATGTGATGTAGAGGTTTAAATGCTAGCAAATTTTTCTGCAAGGAATTTGGAGTTCTTATACTTAACTGTAATGAAGGGAAAAGTTGGAGAAGACAAAACCAAAGTAAAGAATTGAAAGAATCAACCCACTTGAACACGTCTGCTTTTCATAGCAGAACAGGACGAGAAAGTGCAAAACCTTTGGGTCAGAACAATAGTGGTTCTGTTTGCCCATTTTCTCAATTCAGATTTATTCATTTATTTATTTTTTGTGAGATCAAAGTTTTCATTTATTTTTAGAAAATACAGTTAGGGCCAGAAATATTTGGACAGTAACACAATTTTTGTGAGTTGGGCTCTGCATGCCACCGCATTGGATTTGAAATGAAACCGCTACAACATAATTCAAGTGCAGATTGTAACGTTTAATTTAAAGGGTTGAACAAAAATATGTGATAGAAAATGTAGGAATTGTACACATTTGTTTACAAACACTCCACATTTTAGGAGCTCAAAAGTAATTGGACATATAAACATAACCCAAACAAAAAAGTTTTTTCTCAATATTTTGTTGCGAATCCTTTGGAGGCAATCACTGCCTTAAGTCTGGAACCCATGGACATCACCAAACGCTGGGTTTCCTCCTTCTTAATGCTTTGCCAGGCCTTTACAGCCGCAGCCTTCAGGTCTTGCTTGTTAGTGGGTCTTTCCGTCTGACGTCTGGATTTGAGCAAGTGAAATGCATGTTCAATTGGGTTAAGATCTGGTGATTGACTTGGCCATTACAGAATATTCCACCTTTTTGCTCTCATGAACTCCTGGGTAGCTTTGGCTGTATGCTTGGGGTCATTATCCATCTGTACTGTGAAGCGCCGTCCGATCAACTTTGCAGCATTTGGCTGAATCTGGGCTGACAGTATATCCCGGTACACTTCAGAATTCATCCGGCTACTCTTGTCTGCTGTTATGTCATCAATAAACACAAGTGACCCAGTGCCATTGAAAGCCATGCATGTCCATGCCATCACGTTGCCTCCACCATGTTTTACAGAGGATGTGGGTGCCTTGGATCATGTGCTGTTCCCTTTCTTCTCCAAACTTTTTTCTTCCCATCATTCTGGTACAGGTTGATCTTTGTCTCATCTGTCCATAGAATACTTTTCCAGAACTGGGCTGGCTTCTTGAGGTGTTTTTGGGCAAATGTAACTCTGGCCTGTCTATTTTTGGAATTGATGAATGGTTTGCATCTACATGTGAACCCTTTGTATTTGCTTTCATGGAGTCTTCTCTTTACTGTTGACTTAGAGACAGATACATCTACTTCCCTGAGAGTGTTCTGGACCTCAGTTGATGTTGTGAACGGGTTCTTCTTCACCAAAGAAAGTATGCGACGATCATCCACCACCGTTGTCTTCCGTGGACGCCCAGGCCTTTTTGAGTTCCCAAGCTCACCAGTCAATTCCTTTTTCCTCAGAATGTACCAGACTGTTGATTTTGCTACTCCAAGCATGTCTGCTATCTCTCTGATGGATTTTTTCCTTTTTTTCAGCCTCAGGATGTTCTGCTTCACCTCAATTGAGAGCTCCTTTGACCGCATGTTGTCTGGTCACAGCAACAGCTTCCAAATGCAAAACCACACACCTGGAAACAACCCCAGACCTTTTAACTACTTACTTGATTACAGGTTAACGAGGGAAAGGCCTTCTGAGTTACTTGCAGCCTTTAGAGTCCATTGTCCAATTACTTTTGGTCCCTTGAAAAAGAGGAGGCTCTGCATTACAGAGCTATGATTCCTAAACCCTTTCTCCGATTTGGATGTGGAAACTCTCATATTGCAGCTGGGAGTGTGCACTTTCAGCCCATACTATATATAAATTGTATTTCTGAACATATTTTTGTCAACAGCTAAAATAACAAAACCTGTGTCACTGTCCAAATATTTCTGGCCCTAACTGTATATGAAGGGGGTCATTCACACTTCCAAATATATACGACTTGTATGTGAACCGCAAACGAACTAAAAATGTACCGCATGCGCAGCAGATGGCGCAATAAACAACGTCACATATCATAGAGCTAGCTCAGTGTTTTGCCAACTGTCACAAAAATGAAGTAGTGCTCAGTGTTCGTAAACACTGAGCACTGAGTAAACGTGGATGGAAATGTCTGACCGGAGCCATCACATCAGCACCTTAATCCTGGTTATCGTCCACCATGGTTGTTTTTCTTGCGCATATCAGGGCGCAGAATAGTGACATTTTGTCGTGTATCAATGACGTTAAGTTCGGATGAACGCAACCAGGCCATACACACCGGATCTCATTTAAAAAGATCAGACTCGTATCGGATTCAGGGCCACATATCCAAGTAGCCTGGGTTGCATTAAAAAAATCTGTGTTGTTCAGACTATCATGAAAAGATCAGATAAAGGCCGTATTAAGGCAAATAAAATTTTTTTAAAAGTATTTGTGCCACTTCTGGCTGCAGTGTGAAAAGAGCCAAAGTGTCATTTGCTGACGAACACGATGAGACGAAAGGGATCTGTTGCATAGACATTCTTAATCTACTTCTTTTTCTTCTTTAGTTTTTTTATTGGCGGATGGCAAGCAATTTAACTTAATATACTTCAAAATAAGAGCATGAATATAAAGAGATAACCAATACTCCCACAATACTCCAATATAAATGTTGATATTTCCTCAACTGAAAGTTTAAGAAACAGCCAGGTAATTGAATGCTTTAGCATTTATTTGGACAATTTTATTCAGGGGAAGGTAAGTGTGCTAAATGAAAAATTAGCGCATTAGCATATTATCTTTTTGGATTTAGAGTAATGTTCAAATAAAACAGACTAATTAAGTAGTGGTCAGTCTTACAGCAACAAGCCACCTCACAATTTAGTCATTATTAGCACAGACGTCATCCAGACTCCATGACGGAAGTAGATCACAGCTTATTATCACCTCCGGAATCTCCCTTTTTCTTATGCTGACCTTAATACAATGGAGCACATTTTATCCATTTGTCACATAATTTTTACTCAGCTGCAAAGTTATTAGTGCAGAAAATCTGCATCCTATTTTTAACATGGCTTTTACTATTTCAACAACTAAAATCAATCAAAATAAATGTTTGTAGTTCAGAGTAAAAATAATCCTCTTAATGTGATCTAATTGCACCTTCCATTTTTCAAGATAGAAATACGTCAGAAGGAAGAAACTGCAGCATTCATCTCAGCTGATTTGTAAACAATTAAAAATAATACAAGTCAGTTTTTTGGGTTTTTTTTGTTTCCTTGGCAATTGGCCCATTGGCCAAGGCAATCGCCAATTCCATTGGCGATGTTAACGCAGCTGATGTTTCTAAATAAAAATGTGTGAATGAACCTTGTTCAGTCTGTCTCTAGACTTTATTGAAGTTGCCTGCAATTACTTTTTAAATCCAGCAGATGTCACCATTGAGTGATACAGCAACACAGTTTCAACACAGTGTCGAAACAGTTGGGAAATGTGCCATACACCCAATGGGGCCTCATCTGTCCATCACTACTGGCAGAAAAGGCCTAACAGTGTTAAACAATGATAACAAAATGACAAAGCAAGGAAGACCTGTATGATATTTTACTTTTTTGGTGTCATCCTTGAAAACATCTGTGTCCAGCAGTTTTTTATTCAGCTGTGACCTGAGCTCCCTGTTCTCCTGTAACAGGCGGATTATTTCTTCTCTTCTCTATTCACACAAGTGACATTCTATTTGTTGCCTTTTTGCTGCTGTTTCATGTTCATCTTCAGAGTTTGCTGCCTTGCTGAGCTCCTCTCCTGGGGTTTCCTCCTCACCCTCTTGAACTCGCTCCACTTCTACAGCCTCCTCCACTGTGTTTTCAGTATTTACCTTTTCTGGTGTTTTTGTAACTTGCTTCCTCACTTGTCGATCCATCATGGTCTTGCTGTATCGCCTCTTTAACTGACGCGCATGTCGGTTTGATGTTGTGGCCTTCACCTCGCACTGACCCAGATTCAGCGTTGGAACCCAGTCTGGATCTTGCTCATCCATTTCATAGGACGGTTTGCCTTGAAGAGGAGATATCAGAACACACATCAGTATTAATACTGTAAATTATAACACTAGAAAACTTAAACAGTTTACTTCGCAATAATTGAATAACCTCGATGTCCACTGACAAAACTCGGACAATGCTACATAAAAAATATATGCCCGACCTAAACAAGGTTGACCCAATCAAATGAAATCAACATAACTGAACATGAGTAACACGGACAAAATCATGATTACACAACACCAACAAAGCTAATTTAGACACTCACCTGAATGGAAATGTCTGGAGCAAACTTTTAGGTATTTTGAGATGTTGGAGAAGGTGATATTAGGACGTCTCACCGCTGATACCCAGGCCATTCGTCTCCTTTTTGTTAGCTCCGATAGCTTAGCTCCCTGGTGTTGTTTCCAGGCAGGAAAACTGTGAAACGAAAGTCCGTTTTCCAATTTTTTGCCCTTTCGATCGTGTGATCGAACATTGCACCTAATAACGCAGCAAGTTTGTACCATCGCTAAATTATAGTAAACTTAAGTAACTTAAAATATTCAAAAATTCAAAATATCTGTGAGACAATAGGTTTTGTTATTTTCTCGGTTATTGTTATGGCCAAACAAGATGTCTTTTCAATTCCTTCCGCCGAGAGCAGTGACGTTACGCTCGTGACGTCACTCCTCTAGGCGGAAGGATCTGCGCGCTATCTTTTATGGCCATAAACATAACCGAGAAAAGAACATAACCGAATAAACTTGCTCCGTTATTGGGTGTAATGTCCGACCACACGACCGAAATGGTAAAAAGATGGAAAACGGACTTTTATTTCACCGTTTTCCTGCCTGTAAACAACACGAGGGGGCTAAGCTAACGGAGCTAAGCTATCGGAGCTAACGAAAAGCAGACGAATGTCCTGGTATCAGCGGTCAGACGTCCTGATATCACGTTCTCCAACATCCCAAGTTATCAACTAGTTTGCTACAGACATGGTGAGTGTCTAAATTCGCTTTGTTGGTGTTGTGTCATAATGTTTTGCTGTGATTTTTTCCAGGTTACTCACTTATTGACATTTTGCAGTAAGTTACGTTGAGTTTATTTAAGTTTCAACGTTTACTTAACCCGACCTTGTTTTGGTCGGGTCTTGTATTTTTTATGTGGCATAGTCTAAGCTTTGTCTGTGGACATCGATGTTATTCCATTATTGTGAAGTAAACTATTTTACTAGCGTTATCAAATGTACAGTATTAATACTGATGTGTGTTCTGATATCTCCTCTTCAAGGCAAACCGACGTATGAAATGGATGAGCAAGATCCAGACTGGGTTCCAGCGCTTAATCTGGGTGACTGCGAGGTAAACGCCAAAACATGGGACCGACATGCGATCAATTAAAGAGGCAATACAGCAAGACCATGATGGATCATCAAGTGGGGGAGCAAGTCACAGGAACAGGGGCCATAGCAGAGGAGCAAGAGGCTGAGGAGGAAACCCCAGCAGAGAAGCTCAGCGTGGCTGCTCACTCTGAAGAGGAACATTTGAACCATTTATGTTGAAATATGTGAACAGTTGGAGGTGTCTGTTTTCTCTCATTTCGTAATTTAATGTGATAAACATTCATGAAACGTTTGATTCAAGCATTTCAAGTTGCATGTAAACAGGTGATGAAATGAATCACATTTTAAGTAAAACTTTGATATCTAAAATGTTTCAGGTAATAAACATGTGTAATGAAAGATTATATTTTCATTTACAAACATTTTGTGTGATTAAAGTAAACAATTACATAATCTGACATTTTGCAGTAAACAATTAATTTAACAAACAAACCAGATGAAAGAGCCCATCTTTAAATATTGAATGTGTAATTCTGTTACTGGCTATCTGTGACAGACTGGTAAATTTAATCTGTTTCTCATAAATGTATTACTCTTTGACATAAGAGAGCATTCAATTTCGTTTCCTGTAAAATTACTCAAGAAATACCCATTTTTTTATTTATTCTAACAAACGACTCAGATCAAAACCTCTGAGCTGATTAATGTGTAGATGGGACACTAGAGTTGACTGTATCAGAAACATGTCCAACAAAACAACTTTTTTAATTTGACAAAAAGATTTGAATGGATCAATACCAAGGAGTCAAGCTGAATCTCAAACTCTGGTGGAAGACACTCAGATTGAGTGTAACAATTAATGTGTACCAAAGTGTGCGTTAAGGACTTGTTTGGCAAATTCGCTAAAACAGAATTGAAAAGAAGACCCTACCTAAAATATGGCATATGCCAACAGGATGTGTTGCATTCTAACCTGCAGACGTGCCAGTATGGACGACTTCTTGGAGTTGGATGAATAAGAGCGGGAACAGGACAAGCTGCAAAAACGCTTTGACTTTGAAAAGAAGGTGCTGAAACTGCCGGTCGTTCCACACATCTCACAAATCACTGCGAAGTGGAGAATGCAATCAGAGATTAATTTTTTTTTGTTTTTATTTTGCAAAGCATTTACAATTATTATTTTCAAATATCTGTTCCTCACGTGGTCCATCACTCCTTGCTTTTTCCCTCCTGATCACCCGTACTTTTGGCAAACATTCTTCTTTGCGAATGCTCTTGTCGTCATCCTCCTTTCCTTTGTGCTCTCCCTGTAAAGAAACGGATGCTGAGGTTCATGTTGGACCACTGGAGAAAACCCCCACAAGTCGATCGGCTTACTTACATTACTCTTGCGCTCTGTTGTTTCTGCTGCGGAGGCGCGGCGCTGGATGGATGGCAGGCACCGTCTGCAGCCCACTCCCCCGCAGGAGGAGCAGTGTGGCCGGACGAACACCGTGGGAGCCGCTCCCGGCCTCAGCTTCAGCGTCCCGGAAGGCACCTTGTCCTCAAAGTACTCTTTGCCAAAGTGCTCGTTGCAGAGGTGAGAGAAGCTTGTGGCCGCCCACTTCACGCGGGTCCTCTGAACCTGCTTCTCCCACTTGCGGAACTCATCCGGATCCTTTGGGAACCGAAACAAAGTCACCCCGTCTTCGACAGTTTTGCCACATCCGTAGGCCACGCAGTGGTAGGGCATCGTCAAGATAACGCTGAGATTCACGCACGGGCCTGGGTTTAGTGGCGGGGTTTTGGGCTTTTCCACATGTGAGCTGTTTCCAATGAAAATCCATGCAACAAAAATCAATTCTCAAACGCAAGGGTCATGTTTTCTGTTATATCACAACGAAAACGATATTTTACAGACAGCCGGGTTTTCTAAACACGGTAAGCTAAGCTTTCATAAATAAATACTAAAACAATGAAGAGTCTCAGCTGTCTCAGCTTTCTACAGGCTCTTCACTCACATCAAACCAAAATGTGACAAACTATAAATCAAAGCCAGCTGCTAACCGTATGAATACTTCCCCATCTGTCCGTCAATAATGCAACACGTCATTCGATATTACCTTCAATTGCTACTTCCTGTGTCTAGTAATGTCCAAACATGGTTTAGAGATGTGTAACATGTAGCATGTTCACACATGAGCTGTTCGACATCTTTGGAAGCAAAATATATGTAGAGTAGTGACAGCTTCTTCTTCTTTTTCTTCTTCTTGTGACAGTTATTGGCGGTCGGTAAACAACCTAATGGCGCATTACTGCCACCAACTGGTAAGGAGCGTATAGCAGAATTCTGACATTGACACAAAATAAAATTAAAAATAAACTCAAATGAAAATAAGAATTAATTAAATAATTCTAAATATGTTAGTACACCGAAGAAACTGCAATGTAAGTAAATAGCACCCCCCCCCTTCTACACTTCTGATAATTTAACTAAACTTAACGAAACAGTTATTAGTGGTCGAGCAAAACGGCAGATGTCTCAATACTGCCACCTGTTGTTACCGAAAGCATTTTAGTGAATAAATGTGAAGTGGCAGAAAAGGATGCAACTCAAACTCTGAACAGTGTTACGTGAATCTGCATTTTAATTTGAAATTTTACCAGTTCTTTAATGGGTAGTTTTATTAATATATTCTGTCATATATATTAGTATGGCAGAATATTGATATATTCTGCAGATATTTATCTCTCACTAGAAGTCTGAGTCAGCCATGCTCTCCACTGCCACTAATATCAATGAGGGATGATTGTGGTGGCCAACTGTACCAATTAGAGTATATCCTCTAATCGGTAAGTTGCCGGTTTGAATCTGTTGATGTGTCTTTCACCAATTACCATCAGTTGGCAACAACCAGTCTAAATCATCTTTTCAGTCAAGACATATGGTTGTAATTACAATCATGTGAATATTGATCATTGACTAATAAATCAAGGTGTCTTGTGAACCAACAGTGAGGCGGTCTAGAAGAAAATATAGAGTAGACGGTACTTTTTGAGGACCCTTTGCTCCATCAGTGTTTGGAGCACAATGAGGCATATCTTCCATAAATCCATTGCTCATCATTCGTTGGGGTAGCAGCATCAGAGCCAGGGACTTAAAAAGGCTCAACAAGCTGACAAAGATGAATGGTTCTGTTCTGGGAACAATCGTTGACCTTTTTCAGAGATTGCTTCATCATCGCTGAGACACTGACTGCGTTAGGAGATCCTTCCACAGCCATCACCATCTCCAAGAACTCTTAGAGGAAACTTGGCTAATGCAAGTTACAAAATCACATAATTCCCATTTGGGGTTAAGAAAATATTTTAAATTTGAAGTTTGAAACAATGGGCCTGTCTGACATTGTGAACCAATAAGGATGTTCAATGCCAAAACATTCTGGTTCTTATTTAGCAGCTCTCTTGTCCATATCACATCAAGTTACAGAGCCATCACCTATGTGGTTGCTGATATTCCCATAGGAATATGTATGTACAAAATTCTAAAAAACATTCCCATGCATGAAAAAATACCTGTTTAGTGGATGACGTGTACTGGCTGATTCTCTAACACCGCTTATTTTGAGTGGATGGCATTGATCAATTTTGATTACAAGGGCAAAAATATAAAAAGTGTGGCAATTTGATTTAGTATATTTTTAATCAGTGCTCTTAAATATGCTTTTTTTTTTACATTATCTTGCAAGCACAGCAAAAGTTTAAAGTTATTATCATCACAGCAGATAACACACTCACATTCTGTTTTGGTGAATTGTGAGACAGTATTCTCATAACATCTTGTTATGGATCATTATACTGTAAACATATCCCCGCTGTAAAATACAGATGAGTGGGGCAATAAAGGCTGTGAGATCAAGAGTGAGAGAATAGTAAGTGCTGCTTGAATTTAAATTTTGAAATTTCAACTTTGAGAGTTGTTTTTTTTTAAATACATTGACAATTCTTGACATGACTTATGGGTTGGTTCAACTTTATTTTAGAAGTTATGGCACCTATAAAATAATTTAAAAAATACTATTGAGGATCAAGCATGAAAGATGCATCTTTAAAATAAATTATACATGAAATGCATTACAAAAATATTCATACTCGTAGAATTTCTTCACATTTTGTCATGTTATAATTTCAAACTTTTACTGGGATTTTATGTGACAGACCAAAGTAACTGTTAATTATAACTTAGTTAGAATCAATGAGAAGATACAGTATATGGAGTCAAATTCCATAATAACATTAATGTCTCAAAGAACTTACAATTTTTGCTGTATGTTTGCTTTTGTACGACAGATGAATAGTTTAAATCCAAGCATATACATTTTTAGAATGGCCCAGTCAAAGTTTATTCTTCGTGTGCATGCCAAACAACTTTCAACAGTAATTGCGGTAAAAGGTGGTTGTAGAATGAATTAACCAGAGGTAAATACAAATGCAAATTTGTATCGAAAAGCCTGAAATCATATGAGCAGATGATGGTTTTCAGAGGAGGTTTTTATTGTGGAAAAACAAAAGTGTCACTTTTCTTTCAAGTAAAGCCATGGGCTACTTTGTATTGATGTATTTGATCAAATTCCACCTAAAAATATTCAAATTGGTTGGAACAAAAGTTCAGTGGGTGTTAATAACTTGTAAGGACTATAGATTTGTAGAGTTGGAACATCATCTGTGGTGTTGTGGGCACAAAGTTTGCTTGATTCTAATAAAACACAAAAACAAACAAACAAACCGAAAAACCCATTAAACCAGTCAGCTTCTGTCAAAGATAACTGTTAACTGAAATAATTCAAATCTTTTTGCATATGGTGACTTAAAAAAACGAGGATATGCAAGTTTGTTTCTGCATTAATAGACTTTTTATTTATTTTATTTTATTTTTTTTAATTTACCTGTAAGAACTACAGTGAAAATATTAATGAAAACACTTCTGTCCATTATTGGCGCACATTTGTCAGTTTTCTACATTGGATTCGCATCCCATCATCCTCACCCGCTGCCACCAGCAGCACCACCGCCGTCACTTCGCAGCCTGAGCGAGCCTTTCTGCCCGACATTATCTTCATCCTGACTCCGCAGGAAAGGAGGCTGAAATGACGGATGCGACCATGGAGGCGACACCCGGGGACGGTTTATTTACGCCAGAGGAGCCGCTTTAAGTTTGCTGGAGGGAAGCAGATGCGTGTGTCCCCCCGTCTTTACTTCCACGGACCCCCTCCTCCTCCTCCGCTGGCAGAAATTTATAAAGAACAAAAAATCCGACGAGGGAGGGGAGGGGGGTTGATATGCGCCGAGGCTGAAATCGAGAGGCGAACCCAGGGAAAGCGGAGTAATTTGTACACGGGACTTTCCCCCTCTTAGTACCCCAAACGGAGGGGGAAAAGTCGCAATATTGGCAACGAGAAGGAATGGGCTTCTAAAGGCGTGAAAACGTCTGCAATTGTGGATACTTTATATATTTTTATTTCGAAAAAATATGGCCGAGAACGTTCTGGACTCTGGCCCGCCTTCAGCCAAGAGGCCTAAACTCTCCTCTCCGGCACTTTCCGCCTCCGCCAGCGATGGAAATGGTAAGTTTTGATTTAACCTATCCACCGCTGCCGTGATATTGGTTTATGTAAATGTTTTTCTGCGGCGTTTAGGACTGAAAGAGGACGGCGAGGCGGCATTATTTGGCTGTTTTTGTCGCGGCTCGCTAACGTTAGCTTGCTATGAGAGTGTGTGTGTCGGACGTGAGGAAGGGCTCCCCTGTTAGCTCCCGTGCTAACAGCCATTTTAGCCGGAGGAAGCTGCGTTAGCCACGGGGCTAACTCCAAGCGCTATACGGCTCCACAGCTGACGATGTCGTGCCTAATGGCTACTTCGTCTTGGTTGATTAAAAGCTCTGTCCCAGGGGAACTTATGCCAAAGTTTTGGGAGCTTTATCATTGTGTCACATAGACACATGTCTGGATAGGCTGATATATTATACAAGGCATTATTAAAGGCTCTGCTCTCTGTCTCACCTATGATGAGATGTCGCTGAAAATGTTAGAATGTGAAAGCAGCGTGTTTAAAACGGGACTTCTCGGTGTATGAGATGTAAATTCGGGCTTCAGTTGTCGTTAAGCTAAAATTGTCATTTTTATCCTGCTTTTTTTATTGTTACTAATTGGTTGATGGTTTGTGGGAACAACTGGAATAATGGCCTAGGAGAATTCTCCATCGCCATGTCTCTAACATTGCTCCAATTCAAGGAGCTGTTAACAATAAACAGCTCGTGATTAATTTTTTTTTTGTTTTACTACTTTTCTGACAAGATCAGGCACGATTGTCACCAACTTGTCATCAGGTTATCCATCCAGAATGCTTCACACATGTCACGTAGCTCTCTATGGTATTTTGTGATGGAACTGCTGTCTTCAAGGAAATCTTAAGGTTCCAAGGATGCAATGTATTGTCCCTGCTGTATGTGACAGTGGCTTGCAGAAGTCAACCTACAATTGCACACTTTTTATGGGAAGACCAACAACAAAGTAGCGCATAGTGTTGAAATGGAATGTGCTACCTATGTTTTATTTCATGTGTTAAGCTGGAGCGTGGCCATTTTTACCCAAAAACCCTTGTATAAAATCCAGTACACCTGGTTTTCTTTACACAAAACAGGGTTAGCTAAATTCAGGACAATTGTGAGCGAAAACTAAGGATGCACTGATGTACTTTTCTTCTTTTTTTTTTTTAATACCTGTACCAATACCAATATCTGAGGTTTAGTATTGACTGATACCGATTTGATTCAGAAAAACTGTACTGAATTGATTTAAAATGTAAATGTTTATTCTTTCTTAAAACACATACTCAAATGTACTTAATTACACATTTCTTTGATAATTCTGCTTCATTACATCACATTCAAACACACCAGCATCTTCACAAGCTTGGTCAAACATCCAAAAACATCTTTAATTTGTTCACTCAGTGTAGTTAGGACACAGCCAGTGTTATGACAAAATGATTCAGATCATAATGCAACTTTGCTTTAAAATGTCCCAGTCAAAGTTCAGATCTAAAATCAGTTGAGAATATACTTGGAAAAAATGCTGTTCAGACACTGATCTGAGAACTGTTCTGGGGTGGATTTTATTATTATTATTTTTTTACCTGTCTATTATCACACTGACTGTAATCTCACAGACGAAGCTGTGACGAAATGATTTGGATTAAAATGTATTATTGTATTAGAATG